TGTTGTAGGGCACTTCTTGCCCGCACTGCCATGAGCAGAGCATAGCGTTTATTTGAGATATTTACAGCGGTGCCTGTGTTGCACAGCTCACCGAATGAAAAGGAAAACCCCACAATTAAAATGCAGCTAAAGAAAACACGCGAAACCCGAGATGTGGAACAAATCCCAGCTTGAATCATCTGGCTCCAAGACCTGCGTGGAGCCCATTGAGCTCGAGCTAATATCTATTCACAACATGCAAGGAGCAAAGACAAATAGGAATGGCTGGGAGCTAAAGTTCTATCTGGAGACAACACCAGCCCCTCTTCTGCACCAGCACGCGTTGGGACACAGGAGGCTCCTTTTTGCTGCCTTGCACTCTTGGGCATGCATAACTGCTGAAGTCTCTTTGCAAGGCTCTGCTCCCACCAGTTCCTGGCCCCAGGCTGCCTGGCCACTACTGATTTTGGGGCACTCACTGGTACCTGCCTCCAGCCAGCGTCAGAGCTGTGAGGCTGTCTGACATCGATATCTCCTCTCTGCAGTGTTATCAGGGCCTTATCAACACACGCAGCTGGCGCCAATTACAACGAAATTGGTTTTGAGGCTGTTTTCTTTCCAATTCCCCATCTGGACATGCTGTATCACTCACAGGGGCCAGGGAAATTGATACGACCCTAGTGGATATGTTCGCTCCAGAGTGCTTTAACTCAAAAATCTCCACAGGCCCTCGGGGAAGGAGCTGCTGTCACCCTGCAGGTGGCATTGGAGCTCAGGCAGGAGGGGATGGATGGGACAAAGGCCAGTGAGAAGATGATGTGGTGGCAGAGCAGCCAGTCTGAGCACACACGTGGGTTTTCCCCCTGTGGGGCTGGCTATCATACTAAAGGCTATTGGGAATAAGAGCACCCAGTGACATCAGGACTTGCAATGCTTCGCTGCTCATGGTGAGTTGATGGTTGAACTGTTGGGTTGATGGTTGGATTCATGGGCTGATGACAGTTGGACTGATGGGGTGATGGTTGGACTGATGGGCTCACAGCTGGATTGATGGGGTGATGGTTGGATAGATGGGATCATGGTTGGACTAGATGATCTTAGTGGTCTTTCCAAACTTAATGATTGTATGATTCTATGATCTGTGACTGCTTTATGAAACCCCACTGCTGTCTTTAACATTGCCAATAGGAAAAGAATATTAAACCAAGCCAAAACAAAACAAAACAAATGCATTTCAGCAAACAGCCCAGGGAGTAAGGCTGCCCTCAGTGAGAGCAAACAATCCTTATCTGGCAGAGTTTTATGTTACTTCACAGCAGAGTTAAACGGCATTTGTTTGTTTCCCCTGTGCACAAGGCATTGTTTCTGGGTGGGTCCTGCTAGTGCTGGCCCCTGAGCATTCTATCAGGGGTTTGTTCATCTCATTTTCTTGCTGTACCCTGACTGCTAGCAATGGTGGTTGCCAGAGACTGTTGTTTTTTCAGATCTGAGGAAGAGAGAAATACCCTTGTCCTACCCCACTTTCTTGGTGACCAGCAATAGAAATGCCACTTTGTTGTTTTCCACCCTGCCACCAGCAGTTCAATACGAATAAGGGCATCAGATTTCAGGACTGCCCTGCTCAAAGGAGCACTTTGTTTGCAGAGTCAGACTGGAAAGGGCGTTATAAGGGCTGGAATCCCAAAGGGCGAAATGAGGCGACCTCTCTGAGACATTACGCAGTGAAAGCTGGGTCATTAGTAGGGCTCCGTGGGTCAGTGGGAAGGAGTTAACTGAGTGTTAGGCTCTTCGCATGCGTGGAGCCCAAGAGCCACCCTTATCAGCAATGGCTACATGGTAGAAAATGCCTGTGTAACAGTGACGGGGAGGAAAGCGCTCCTAATTCCTCTTTGTAAGGTGATGGGAGCTCGGCATTGCTGTAAAAGGCCAACCCTACAAGTGAAGAAGCAGGCCCTGTCCCCTTACCCAAAGGGAAGAAACCAGGGCCACCTAGACCAGAAAACATGTGTGGTAATGGTTCTGCTTGAAAGCTTTGCATCTGGCGAGGTTGTAGCATGGGGCTGGGGGAGGCAGAAACATTTGTGGGGCTGAACGCATTGCCAAGGAGCATGGACTGCTGTCAGTGTTGGGTAGCCAATGAGCTGAGCCAGGGTTGGCAGTGCTTCATCTTGCTCATCTCATCAGAATTCATTTGCATACAGAGGTTTGGGTTTTAGACCATTTAAGGTGAACTCATTGCCTTCTTCCCCCAGGAGCAGCCCTTGGGGGTTAGGGAAAAAAAGTTGCTTTGTGAGTGTGGGACAAACATTCTCTGTCCTATTCACGACCACGCTTGCTGCGCTCCAGGATGTCCCAGCTCTCTTCCCAGCCCTGAGTATCATGCCTGGAGCTCAGCTCCTCACTTCCCAGTAAGCATCCTCTGCTTTCCCTTCCTCTTCCCACTTACAGGCGAGTGCATCCCAGTGGTGGTGTGGGAAGACCTGCCATTCACTGCAGCGTGGTTGGAGTTGGCCAGTGGATTCACACCATGCCGTGGGTGGCTGATAGACAGGCAGATAGACAACGTGATGGTGAGAGCTTCATTTCTGCAGAAACATGGCTAAAAATGACTCCTCATCCCAAGGCAGCTTGTCCAGCATGTCTCAGACTGAAGTATGCAAAGCAGAAAGAAAACGCTACAGAACAGCAATGGTTGTGATGCTAATTTGGGAGCCACAGTCAAATTTCACCCCTACCACAGACTCTCTGTTTGGCCTCCAGCAAATCACATTATTTTTCTAATCCTCAGTTGCTTTTATGTAAAATAGAGCTAAAGGTTTGGGGGTTTTACCTTTGGGGAAAGGGTACAGTAACTACGTAAATTAAAAACCAGGAGGCATTTGGATGCTACATCTGAGCCTCAGTCTGCTGCCATCAAAGCACGTAAGACCATGAAAAAATAATAAAGGAAAAAACAAAGATTGTTCTGCTCCCTGGGTCCACAACCCTAGAGCCACAGGGGTTTTGAAGCAAGGTCCCACTTGGGAGCAGGGTATCAGCATCGTTCTCTTCCCATCAGTGCCAGCCTCCCCTTCTGTGATGGGTGTTTGCTGGCTGTGGGAAAGGAATGGGAGATTGCTGCCCATCCCTAATGGGATTTGTACTCCCAGAGCTGAAATCACCCCTGCAAGTGAAACTAACACCATCCCTTGCCATCATCACTCAAAGCTGTCATGGATCTGATGGAAATTCAGCTGAGGGTTCCATCCAAACCCAGCTCTTTGTTGGGCTGTCCTAGGGAGCATCCTCCCATAGACGGGATATGTCATCCCAAACCTGGAGATGGAGATGTTGTCACCTCAGAGGTGTGCTCTCCCCAGTGTGCTGTTCCTCAAGGACTTGGTTAGTGTGGTATTGAGTTCTGCCACAAAATCACCTCTCTTCTATGGCAAGAACTTTACTTATTGTACCATTTCCTTCCTCCTCCAGCCTCATTCCTTTCTCTCAGTACTTCTGCAGATCTACTGAGTCACACAGAACCCGGCTCACCCCCAGGTGCCTTCAGTCATCCTCCAGCTGAGTTTATAGAGGGGAAATTTCTCCTTCACTTGTGCTCTTTGCCTCCTGCACCATCTCAACCTTGGCCTTAACACTGGGACAGCCCTTTGGCAAGGAAGATTTTGGTGCTGGCTGAGCAGTTTAGGCCTTTTATTCCTCATGCCCTTCCACTGCTGTCATCCATACAGATGCTGAGTGTTGAGCCCTGTAGGCGAGGAACCTCTTGGGTTGCCTTAGTACTGGTTGCCACCGGATGCCTCTTTCTGTTAAGTGTTAAGGTGGAATGGTTTTATTGGAAGAGTGGTGCTGCAGTGGCACAGGCTGCCCAGGGAGGTGGTGCAGTCACCGTCCCTGGAGGTGTTCCAGAACCGTGTGGATGTGGCACTGAGGACATGGTCGGTGGGCATGGTGGGGATGGGCTGAAAGTTGGACTTGATGATCAACCCTGCCCATAGCAGGTGTGCTGGGACTAGATGATCTTTAAGGTCCCTTCCAATACAAGCCATTCTATGATTCTATGATCTTGGAGGTCTTTTCCAACCTTGGCGATTCCATGGTTTTCTGATCTCTTGTAGATCTTCACTGAGTTCCCATAAGAATGGTGTGAGGGCTGCCTGTACCGGCGCACAGCACGGCTCAGTCATCAGATAATGGCAGGTTAGAGGGGCACTGGCACCAATACTTTGTTTTGAACACGCTGTTATTCTAAATTCCCAGCAACTCACAAGGAAGGGTGTTCTCTAGCGTTGCTTCCTTTTGACCTCTGTAGCTCTCGGCTGCAAGGGGTGCGATCCCACGCCCATGTTTCGCTGTATTCGCAGTCAGGTTTGTTCGGGCTCCGCCTGGCTTTGCTTCCCTCTCCCCAAACCGGCCTTGAATGAGGAAGAACGCAGAGAAAAGTTGAACCGAGTAAAGGCAGCTTTTGCAGTCGGGGTGCGGGATGGAGAGTCAGCAGACGCAAAGCTCTATTTCTGGCACCGCAGCCAAACTTCCTGCACGTCGCCGGGCGCATCTCCCCATAACGGCGGTGCAGGGATGCTGCGGGGGGGAGCAGGGCACCGCAGGGCCGCCCCGCTGCCCTTCCACAGCCCATCGGCGAAGCTCCGCTCTGCTTTGTGCGGGAGGCGGGGGGCGGCGGGCGGTGGCAACCCGGGGGGGGGGGGGGGGGGCGCGCCGGGGGAGGAGACAGGCTGGGAGGGCGGCACAAAAGGGGCTGCCGCAGCTCTGCCCGCCGCTGCCGGCGGGGTTCGGCTCCGCATCTCTTTGCCCGCGGCCGTTCCAGCGGGAGGAGAAGGAGGCGGAGGGCTGAAGAGGAAGAGGAGGAGGAGGAGGAAGGCGGCGGGGGGCTGCGGGCTCGCCTCGCCTCGTTCCGGCGCCGAGCCATGCCGGGGGGCGGCGGGCGGGCCGGGGGCGAGCGGCAGCCTCGCCCCGCCGGGGGCCCGGCGGGCACCGCCGCTGCGCCGGGCGGGGGTGAGTGAGTGAGCGCGGGGCGGTGCGGGGAGCGGAGCGGGGCGGGGGGAGCGGTGCGCGCAGCACCCGTTGGAGTTACCCCGGGGCGGTGGGACCCCCCTTAGTACCCCCTTCGGCCGCCACCTGCAAGTTCTGCTCGCCCTCCCGCCTCCCCCTTTTCCCTTCTTATTTATTTACACGAGCGCGATTTTTTTTTAAAATTATTATTTTTTTATTCTCCCCCTCACCTCCCTCCCAATAATCCCAGCATCCCCTGCTAGGGAGCAGCGGCGCTGGGGAGGAGGGAGGCGATGCGATGCCGCCAGCCCCCTGCCCGCAGCTGCGGGGATGGATGGATAGATGGATGAATGGATGGATGGATGGAGGCAGCCTCTGGCCGGGGCACTGCAGCGGAGGCCCAGCTGCTGCCTGCGAGCAGGGCACGGGCTGGGGACGCGTGCCAAGGCTGCAGTGAGCGAGAAGGAGTAACAGGAGTGCGTGCGTGGGAGGGCAAACACACACACACACACACACACACACACAAATACATGTGTGCCATCGGCGTCAAGCCTCCCCCCCCCAGCTCTGACTCCGCGTCAGACTGACCCCCCCCGGTTGAGCACTGGCTGCGGGGGGATGTGGGCACCCACGTTGTTTGTGAGATGGGAATCACTGTGTTCTTGCTGGGGTGGCACAGGCTGGTGCAGCCCCGTCCTTGTGAGTTTTGCTCTCTGGGTGAGCGTGACAAGGGTGATGGGGAGTGTGTGGCTGCTGCGGCTCTGGGCTTGCTCAGGGAGGGAGTGTGGAACGGGAGGGTGAGGCACGCGGTGCCTCGGTCCATGGGCTGCAGTTCTGGGAGCCCTGCCTGATTCCAGCGCTGCAGCTGGGGTCTGTTGTGTCCCCTCTATCCTATGAACCACTGCATGGGCGCCAAGCACCTCTCCTCCCTGTAACAACCCCCCGTTTACCTCTGGATCCCTCTTCCAGTAGGAAGTTCGAGCCCATGATAGCATTCGAGTCACCAGGAGCCTCCAGCCCTGTGCAAACTGCATTTCAGATCCCCACCTACTCCCATCCATCCCTCTTTGCCCACCTACTCCTGTCCCTCTTTACCCAACCACAACAGGACATGAGTCACGGGGACTTCTCAGCCCCCTTCCCTAAGGGTGTCCCACGGGTCCCTGCCTAGAAGTGGTGTTCGAGTCCAGCTGCAGCCTGTGACTTGTGAGTCACCAGCAAGACCCTGCTGCTGGAGCCAGCTCCTCTGGGAGAGCTGAAATCTTGTAGGATCTGCCATTGCTTGACCCTTAGACAGCAAAGAGCTGTCTCAAATGGGAGGGAAAACCCACAGGCTTCCCACCTTCCAGCACTCCCCCAGTTACCAGAGCTCCCTGTGCACAGCTGTAGCATCTGTGTTGTGCTTTCAGCCTCATGGTGGTGTTGGGAATGCACCCTTCGGGCTGGGGAGGGAGGGGAGAGCCTGGTGTGCTGCTCTTGGGGAGCCCATAGAGATATAACTCAGCTTTTGGACAATGGCTGGGGGGATGGGGACCTAAAAGTCCTGCAAAGGTTTACAGCCCCTCAGTGCCCTCGGGTGATCTTGCAGCAGTGGTAAAAAATGTGCTGCAAGGTACAGCATTCCCTCCACGTGAGGGAGGCCAGTACCTGTATGGCTTGTTTATCAATGTCCTGGATACAGCAATTATTTTCTTATGGAAGGAGTTCTGGTAGCTGTAGGTGAGCTCTCGCCTGGTTCCCAGTGCTGTGGCCCCACTGCTGCCTTCTGGTATGGTATGAGGCACTGCAGGAGCTCATCTCCACCAGAGGTACGTAGGGCATCAGCATCCCTCCATTCGCTTATTGGTAAAGTTGGAAAAAGAGAGATCTACCTGTGTGGCACATGGAGATCACCCTGGCAAGGTGGTCAGAAAGAGGAGGTAGAAGCCAATGGGTGCACCTGCACTGCAGGAGCTGCCCACAGTTCTAACTCTGGGCCTCATATCCCCAGCAGGGGATGGGGACAGCTGGGCTGTGGGAGTTGCTCAGTGTATAGGCTGCAATCACAGCTGCCCTCAGGGTCTATAGGTATGGAGTTGGTGTTTGTGCTTCTCCTCTGCATTGTTTATCCTCCTCTCCTCATTCCCACGCACACTGTGTGATGCACGGTGTGACTCTGCTTGGTGTCACATTGCATCGTGTGTCTTTATGGGGTGGTTGTGTGAGGCTCAGGTGAGTGTTTGGGTACGTGCCACAAGGTCCTGCTGGGGATGTTTACATGAGCATGGGCCCTTCTGTAGGGCTTATGGCCATGGTAAGCTTGGTGTGTGTACCCAGCCACAAGTAAGGGCATCAGGAGCCACTCAGGACAGCGTGTGGGGATACTGTTGTGTATGTGAAGGACACTTAGTTCAGATGAGTTTCCCTCTCTGACCCTCCCTTGCTTGGACCTGTCAGCAGGCAGAGATAAACTCAGTCTCGTGGCAGGGCTTATAGCTGAGTTCTCAGTGTGTTGTGTCTGAGCTTCCTCCTGTCCACTGAACAGCATCCTCAAAGTGCATCTGCCATCCAAAACTAATATTTTTATTTTCTTCCTTTTTTTAAATTTTTTTTTTATTTTTTAATCCTCCTCATGCACTGGATTGTGAAAGTGGGAGGAAAGCAGCTGGGAAACACAGTGATGGATGGATGGGGCACATTGGGCCAGCTCTCATTCCTACAGGCTGGCGAGGTTTGAGGTGGGGTTACTGGCTCTAAAATGGGCCTTTTGTACATTGTTGGAGTCCGTGACCCAATCAGTGGGATGTGGCTGGAGGAGGTGGTGCTAACGAGGACTGGCAGAGCTGACAGCAGTCAGCAGGGAAGGCAGTGGAGGGGGCACGGACTGGTACAGTGTGAGGTGCCTGGAAGGGCTAGTTCAGGCTATCAGCCCTGCCTGTAGAGAATCATACCATCATGGAGATTGAAAAAACCCTCTATGATCATCTAGTCCAACCATTGACCCACCGTGACCATGCACGGTGGGGCTGCAGGGTCAGGAGTGGGGTGCTCAGGCAGTTTGGGGAGCATGATGTTGGCCCTGGGGAGCGCCCCATGGCTGAGCTGGGGGTTGCCACTTCCATGCTGCCCCGCTCAATTGCTTCCCTTTCCATCTGCTGCTTCTTCCCAGTAGCATCCTGCCATTGTCCCCCGGTTTGCCAACCCTTGCAGGCTGGGCCGGGGTTAGTGAGCAGAGTCACTCTGCCATCCACTCCTTTGGGTCTTTCTGTCTGTGGGAGTGTTGCTTTGCGTGTGCTTTGCATGATAGCAGCACCGCAGCGATCGGGTTTGAGGCACACCGAGAGAGACCAATGCAAATGTGTGCCGCTGCGGAACGCCTTCAGCAGCTGCTGTCTAACGCAGGGAGCTGCTCCTCTGACTTTATCTGCGTTAGCATCCCTTGTTTTGGCTATCAGACAGTGGAGCCCAGCAGACAGCAGCGTGACACCAAAGGGAGCCCCGCTCCCTGATGCAGAGCCCTTTAAGGAGGAAGAGGAAGGTAAGCTGCAGCCCTGTGATTTTTCAGTTGAGGCTTAAGTGAGGGCAACGGCAGTGCTTTCAGTTCCTCCTCTGCCAGTGTGGATACTTCTGGGGGAAGCTGGACACTGGGGAGGAGGAGGAGGATAGAGCTCCCTGCAGACGGAGCATGTTGGGCACAGCCACAGCACAGAGCCTGCAGGAGCTGGAAGAGGTAGGGGCTGCGGGTAAGCCCAGTACCTCTGCAGTACGGGGCAGGCAAACGAGGGCAGGTTGGGTGAGCACTGCCCTGGGGTGATCAGTACGAGCTGCTTCCTCTTTGAACACACTCTGTTCCTCACGCCTGCCCCACAGCTCCTCTCCCTCTGCCTCGCTGTCCTACGCAGCCTGGGAGACTGCGGGTCCTGCTTCCCTCCTAGGGTTGGGTGAGGTCTCTGGAGAAGAGGTGGCCCAAAGAAATGGCTGTTTCCCTATTGGGTGTCCCCAAATACCTCCTGTCGTGCTGTTGTGTGATGCAAGTGGCCACTGTGTTCCCGTATATGCGCCATTGGCACTGAGCCTCCATGGCCTCAAATTCCCCATCTCGCAGCAACTTTTGGAGCAAGGGTTGACCACACCTGCACCCAGCCTGGCCAGGGGGGGATGATGGGATTGCTTCTGCATAATTTAGCAGTCTCTTGAATTATTTATGGTGCCATTGTGCTCTGGAACAGAGTCTTCTTGCTTCCTGTGAGCGCTGGGGGGAGGGAAGGGTGTTTGTCAGGCATCCAGGTTCTATCACTGAACAGCGAGGAAGTGCTGTGGGTTTCCTTTCTGGCCCTGTTTGTCTGCATGTGTCCTGATGCAGCTGAATTGCCCTGCGGATGCTCTTGTTGAAAAAAAAATGCAGTTTCACTTTCTGCATCGTTCAAGTGTGGAGCATCTCTGTGGCATGGCCTCCCTGAGCTCAGAGCGCTGTCCTTGCAGTGAGGAGATGATGTCAGGCTGGAGATGGTGAATCTGATGCTTGGATCTGGTCCCTGACTCAATTACAGGCCAATGCAGTGGAGCTGGGATGGACGTTGCAGGGTAATATTGGTGCTAAGTGGATGGTTGCTCTAGATGATCTTCAATGTCTTTTCCAACCTCAGTGATTCTATGATTCTGAAATATTCAGATGCTTGAGACCTTTTCTCTGTTGAAAGACTATGCAGTCCTGTCCAAGTGTTTCTTAGCAGTACGCCAGATTTTGCAAGGTGTTCAAGATGTGGCTGTGGTCCCCTCTGCCCTGCACCTCCTTCCTGTTCCCCTTGGAGTGTTGAAAAAAGAGATTTTAGTGCCTTCCTCTTCCCCTTTCTTTCTGGCATGGCTGTGCAGGCAGCTAACTTCTCAGAAACAGAATTCAAAATAAATGTTTATGTCACTGAATACATAAAAGAAGAGAGGAACTTGGTCTGATCAAGAGGTTGCAGCATTAACGGCCCTGCATTGTACTGTTGAACCGAAGGGCTCAGCTTCTCTGTTTTTATCTGTGTGGTGCAAGTTTGTGTTTTTGTGTTGGGGAGGGGCTGGCCAGATAACCACCAGACATCCTTACAATGAGCTGTGTGGTTCCACTTGGGTCTCAGCCTGAGACAAAGCCTTGCTTTCCTCTTCATCCTTCCCCAACTCATAAGGCAGTCTTGGGGAAGAAGCACAGAATCACAGAATCATTAATCTAAGATCACCTGGTCCAACAGCCAGCCCATCCCCACCATGCCATGTCCTCAGTGCCACATCCACACGGTTCTGGAACACCTCCAGGGACGGTGACTGCACCACCTCCCTGGGCAGCCTGTGCCACTGCAGCACCGCTCTTTGGGAGAAGAACATTTCCCCAGTGTCCAGCGTGAACCTCCCCCAGCACAACATGAGGCCATTACCTCTCATCCTATCGCTGTTACCTGGGAGCAGAGGCCGACCCTCACCTCTCCACAACCTCCTTACAGTGACTTGAAGAGAACGATGAGGTCTCCCCTGAGCTCCTCTTCTCCAGACTGAACAACCCCAATTCTCTCAGCTGCTCCCCATCAGATTTGTGCTCCAGACCCCTCACAGCTCTGCTGCCCTTCTCTGGACATGCTCCAGCACTTCCATGTCTTTCCTGTAGTGAAGGGCCCAGAACTGAACACAGCACTTGAGGTGCAGCCTCACAATGCCGAAGAGTGGGAAGAGAAGCGTTACAGCAGCAGCCCATGTGATGTCCTCTATGGCATTTGTCTTCACTGATGACAACAAGCTCTCTTTCTCCGAAGGCCTGCTCCATAGTCCTCTCTGTTTGGCTTAATCTGAGGATCAGGACACTGCTTTGCTTTGTGAAAAAGAATGTTTGTGCAGAGAAATAAACATATTGTTGAGACCCAGGCCTGCTGCAACGCCTGTAAACAAGATCCAGCCCTCTGCGGGAGGCAGAAGAGAGATTTATGTGACCCTGAGCTAAGTGCATTAGGAGGCTTTTGATTTCATTCCGGGAAACTGCCCCTCTTCATGGTGCCATATGCCTGTTACCGGCATAGAGCCGTTACCCACGATTTGATTTGTGCGGCTTTAATCCGAAGGGCTGCCGTGCTGCAGTCAGAAGGATTAGGCGGGCAGGGGGTTGTCTCTGTGTGCCGGAGCCCGAGGTGCTCTGCAGAGCCCCGTGCCCTTTGCCCAGCCCGGAGGTGGGTGTCTGGGCTGATTCGCTCCTGCCTTGGGGCAAGGCATTGAAGAGCTGTCTGCCTATCAGCTCTCTCCTCCTGAAAATAATAACAAAGTGAAGTGGCAGCGGGGGATCCGGGCGGCACTGTGTCGAGGTCTTGCCTAAGTCTTGAAAGAGGAAATGAGGAACAAAGGCAGAAGAGACAAATAAATAAGGGTCTGTTCTTGGTCCAAGGAAAATTCCCATGGGTTCGTGTAGCATTCTTGGGAAGATGCAACACTCCCGGGGCTGGAGTTGGTTTTTGAGAAGCAGAAGGGGGGAGAATGGGGTGTGGGAGGGAATTGGGGGTGGGAAGTAGAGGAGGAGGGGGAGACACCCAGAGAAAGCTCTCGGCGTGGAGTCAGGTTTCTCTGGCTGCTCCCGGTGAAGAGGGGTTAATGCTTTCTGCATGGGGTTGGCTGGTCACCAGACATTCAGAGAAGAGGGGGATCTAGGGGCTGCCAAGTGGGGGACCCCTGTGGCCTGAAGGGAGGGGAAGGAAGGAGCTGGGAACGCTCTTTCGAAGAGTAATAGATCAGCTACTGTGGGAAAGTGAGCGCCCTGCCAAACCCCAAGTGGTTGGTGATGGATGGGGGAGGAAGGAAGGCGGGGATGTAGAGCCGGCTCTTCCCTGTGGCCACTAGGGTCTTGCTGCTGCTTTATGGCCTCTCATTATTTATCATCTTTCTGGGGCTTAATGAGTCACCTTCTTGGTTTGATTTGGAGGGCTTTTATTCTGGGGACACAGAAACAACTGCCACTCACTTTGCAAATAACCAAAGGCAACGTGGTTTATTCCTGCCAGCGTGGGCCTGTGAACTAAGTCCATCACATGGCATCAGGTGCTTCTTGCTTGCACGATTTGGTGCACGACTGCCATATCCCCTCAGCTCTGAGGTGCTATTCTCAGGATTCTTGACTTGCTCAGCACATGTGGACTGCCTGCCAGGGTCTGCTTTGAAAGCACTTTGTCTTCCAGATCTGTCCTTGAGATGTTCTTCCCTGATGCTTCCAAAAACTGATTAGCTCACGGCAGTTGACTGGGAGCCTCACTGGAGTCTTGGTTAGACGAACCCTGCTCAAAAAGTGGCCTGTTCCTTTGAGTGTCTGAGGATGCAACTATATGATGCAACAGCTTTGGTGAGAGGTGAATAGCTGTCATCCAGGAAGTTTCTGCTGTCAGCCGCTTATTCTCATCCTTAGGCACTTCTCTTGAAGTTTATTTTTAACTCAGATTGGCTGCTGATTTGGATTTCCAATGTGAACTTTTATACTGACAGCCTAGGGGTGGTGAGCCGTGAAGGTGGTGAGTGAAGAGTGAGAACCTACGAAACCACCTCTGTGCTTCCATAATGCACTGCTTGGTCTTTGAAAGCATAGTTTTTTATCCTCTAAGTGGCCATGTCCTGTCCCTGTCTGCAATACATCGAGACTAGCTGAGAATTCTCACATACTTCTTTGATTATCCCATGGCCTTGGCCTCCCTAAGGACAGAAGTTGCTTTTGTGTAGTCTTGTCCCTGTTTCCTTTTGGATTCATGATGGAGCATTCCTTCCCTGTAAGGAACCAGTCAGAAAGCAAATGAACTAGCAGACTCCATTTTGTGTTCCTATAACCACTGCACAAGTGAAGCAGGGAGCAGCAGCGCTGTGTTTGGCTGGGGGAAAGGCTTTGCATCCTTGGGTGTGTGTGTATGTATGTGAGCACGTGTCCTGGGACCTGATTTTGGGGCCAAGTGGTGATGCAGCCTGCAGAGTCATCACAACACTCTTCAGGAAACTAGATCTTGTGAGGAGGCTGAGGAAGAGTCCTTCCAGGATATCAAGCGTAAGTGAAGGAGAGAAGAGGACAAAAGTGCTATTTTCCCTTTAGTGGAAAGAATCCTTAGCCTAGTGGTGCTGAGAAATCAAAATTGTGCTTTCTGAGAGCATCTGAAGGATCAGAGCATGCTGAGGCATCTCTAGAATCGTGGAAATCCCTATGGTGGGACTGGCTTTGGTTAGAGAGAGAACATTAGTTACAAGGGAGCCTAGTACAGCTGAAGGATACTGAGAAGAATATTTGTTAGATTCCCATGGAGTTAGAAATCCAGCTTGAAGTTTTCTTTAGCATGCAGTACTATACCCTTGTGATGGCCAAGTAGTTCTTGGATAAAATTAAATTGGTGTCTCGTAGGCCGTTATTGGATTTCAGTAGAGTTTTTTAGTCTTCTTTGAGCTGATCTTCTTTTAAACCGGGGGCTGGAGAATTATATAATTATGCTGCTATTAGAATTATGGTAGTTACAGTAAGAACAATCTGTTCAAGTGAAGGGTTTTATAATG